GCCCATGGACAAAATCTTCCATAGGGATTCAGACCTGACATGCCTGCAGAAGGTAATCATAACACATTCTTTGTTTCTTACCTGAAAAATCCCCCAAACCTTTCTTGTTAACAATAGCAATGTTGTATAGAATTGGAACTTGGTCATATTTACGGGACATCCATTGAAACCAGTTAAGTATCATCAGATTAATGTATAAATCCAATTTAACAAAATCCAGTTAATTAAATATGGGGGAAACTGGGCTGAAAATGGTAATGTTTTGTTTCTTTTCTGCCATTGCTGTTTTGTTAGGGTTAGATCTGTGTTGCACTCCAGCCAGGATTTACCTTGCCTTCAATACCAGATAAAATTCCAAAAGTGGTAATAAAATAGTTTAGCAAGAAAAGTATATATGAAAAGGAAAAGTCATCATAAAAAAATGTAAACAAACAGATGTTGGGAAAATAGTAATTAAATAATAAGCCAACCGAAAATAATAGGGAAAACACTCCATAAGCAATAAACCGAACAGGAAAAACCAGGATCAAAACATGAGCATAATCCAAGAAAACAAGAATCAAACCATGAACATGAATCCAAAAGCAAATTCTTACATACATGTTGCAGAATGCATGATCCAAACATCTGAAATAGATTAGTGTGATGTCTTTTTACAATTGTTGGTATATATTGTTAACTGTTTTATATCTGGCATTGAATTTCTGCTGTTCTTGTTGGTTGTGAACCACTGTGAGTCGCCTTCGGGCTGAGAACAGCGGTATATAAGTAAATAAATAAATATAGCCACGTGGGTGGATTTTTATTTTACTTTACTTGTTTATATCCTGCCTTTTTCCCAGGGGGGAGTCAAAGTGGCTAACAGCCACAAAATCTGGTCAAAGCTTTAAAACAACGCAAATACAAAATTAAAAAAAACCCCTATTAAATTGTACTGTGGATTTAGATGAAAATAGTAGAGTCTTGCTTATCCGACATGCCGTCTTATCCGACTCTCTTATCTGATGTTCCAGCATTTCCCCTTCAATTAAAGGAGTGCTCCCAACTCTCTCTCCATTCCCAATAAGTGAAAAAGGAAAGATGAGGAGGAGGGGAGGAAAGGGGATAAAGAGGCAGGACTGGAAGTGGAAGCATCCTCCCTCTTTCCCTCGGTGATTTCCACGCTCCTCTTCTGCATCCGAGAACTTCCTCCTGGGCTGCTCTAGTCCCGAGGCGTTGCCTTACCTTAACCCTTTGAGTCCCTGTTGTTATTATTCTAGGTGTCTAATGCCGCGTCAGACGGATAACAGTAGAAGACTCAGCATTATCCGACATTTTTGTTTATCCGACATTCTTGCTGGCCGTTTATGTTGGATAAGCGAGACTCTACAGTTAAAATCTAATATATACAATTACATTTAAATTTAAAACTCACAATCCCTCCCCAGAAATCACCCACTCCTGCTTTGTAGCAGGCACGGGCAAACTTGGGCCCTCCAGGTGTTTTGGACTTCAACTCCTGCCATTCCTAACAGCCGGTAGGCTATTAGGAATGGTGGGAGTTGAAGTCCAAAACACTTGGAGTGTTGTGACTCAGCTAGAACCACAGACTGATAGTGTTGTGCTCAGATGGGGTCTCAGAGTGACTTTGACAAGGATGATGGGATTCAGGTTCACAATCAGGTTCAAAATGTTCCTGTTGTAGACAATGAGGAACAGGGTGTGCAAGTTCAGGTTCCCACAGCAGGGAATGATGTTTTTGATACTGAAACTAGCCAGGTGCAAATTGAGTCAGAAAAGGAGGACAGTTCTCAGCCTGATAGTAAGCAGGAAGGCAACCAGGCTGACACTAAAGAGCAGCCTGACCTTGATGAAACGGGAATCTTAGATCGGGCTGACCGTTTGGAATTCAGAGTTCGAAGGAGTGTGAGAATAGCTAACAGAAGGAGGTCAGAGGCCAAAGAAATGCTTTCATGTATTGCAAAGGGTATTAAGCAGTGTGTTTGAAAACAAACCTTTGTCAGAGCAACTTTGCACTCAACCAAGCAGCTTGTGCTTGTTTGCTTGGATTATCTTGTAGTTCTTGTGTCCATGGTCTTGGGACTTTGTCATGTTCTCATGAGAGATTGTTTTGTTGGTGACTCTTGGAATCCTGCTTTATAGTGCTATGCCTTATTGATCTTTTGGAACATTACTTGCTTTTATGAACTTTTATTTTTCATTTTTCAATAAACTACAAAGACTTCAGTCTGTGTGCAGTTTTGGTGATTTCAGCAAGGTGAATCTACTCTGAGGTGCAACAAGGAGGGCCAAAGTTTGCCCGTGCCTGCTACCTGTTCTAAATAATAATGTATTGAAAGACTTCAATAATAAAAACAAAAGGGAGGGATGAAATGTTTATTTAGGTAGCCAAATACGGTTAAGAGAGAAAGGATTGGGGCGGCGGGGGGGGAGGGGGATTGTAACAGTTGACATTATTTCATTGAATAATGCCACAATGCTTTACCACATTTCAGGAGTCAGGATAGATGCCTGTTAGGCTTTCTTTACAAATATCCGTATGTTTTGTTTCCATCCATTGCTGTTAAACTAGCTTTTGGAGTGCATGAGGAAGACCCTGGACAGTGTGGCAAATAGCTTCATTGCTGAAGAATTCCTGGCACAACTCGAGAACTTATTCCTTTCAACCTACAAGAATGAGGAGTGGAATGATGCTGCTGAAGAAAATACCACGTGCCCAAACGACCTACCCATATAATGGTACTGAAAAGTATAACCACTCACTTTAAAATAAGGCTGCAATGCACAAGAGTGACAGGATCTATTGTGGCTGAAGAAAATGATACTTAAAGATGAAACAAAGCAATCATGGCAAACTATGTGACCTCTGACATGGACTCCCTACAAACTATGTGGACTCTGACATGAATAGAACCATTGCCCCATGTTGGTAGCTTAGTGATAATATACCAGTTCAATCTGGTGTTTGCAACACTGCTGTGTAGTCTGTTCCATTCTTCAATGGAAATTCTCTGAGGTGTTAGCAAACATATTTGTCCAATTAATAAATTCAGCTGTGTTGTATGTATATTGCTGAG